CTACACAAAAGAGAGAGTTATGAAACCCCACCTCATTAGCCAACACACATCACGAACGCCAAGAGATTCTCAGTGCTACGGCAGATTTCTCTCCCAAGTTCTCCTGGCTGGGTGAGAACTTTTACAGGGAGTTGCTGGACACCAGCGGGAAAGCATGATACCATTACATGTATCTGGCACTTATTCTAGGTGTCTTAAGAACTGCAGTGCAGATTTTGAACCGGGTTGAGCAAGAAGCAGCAGCCTGTGTTTCTAAAAACCTGTTCCGAGGCTGCTGTTGTACGTCGTCCTCCACCGCCAACCCACCGCACAGGAGGCGCGCTGACCATGCCAAAACACCGGCGCGGGCTGCGAGGGCAGGGACAGGCGCAGCACCAACGGCCAAAGGCCTGAAGCGGAGCTTCACCAGAGCCGCCCAGCCGGGAACACGCCGCTCCTCCGAGCGCCGGTCGCACCGGCAGAGCCTGCTCCTCCCTCCCGCGGGCGAGCCCAAGCATCCCCCACCAGAGGCGGCTCTCCAGCAAAATGAAATGCAGACAAAAGCCCAGGGAAAGGCCTGTTTCCATCTCAGCAAAACAGAAATATCTTTCTCCTGAGGCCAGGTAGGCCCGTGCCAGCCAAGGGAGCGGCTGGGCTCTGGCTGGCGCGGGGGCTGCAGGAGGGGCTCAGCACCGCTGGCACTGCCCCAGCGCCGCACGGCTTTGTCAATGCGCTGGCTCTTGGTACAACAGCAGCAGGAGGTTTCCCAGCATAAACACTGACCCTGCACTTTTATAAACATTATGTTAACATCTAAGTTCTCTAACATAAATGATAACGTTATAAACATCTTTATTTCAACTATTTTAGTAGAATGCAGGTAGTATGTAGATCACTGTAATCGGCAGAATAAGCAAATGCTTTAAAAAAACCCTATGCAAACTTACTTAGGATTCAGATGAGGATCATTCCACTCAGCTTAGGGGCAAAACATTTAAATAAAAAAATACATTTTTTCACACTGAGATTTTAATCCTGGATTAATTATTTTAGACATTTTATATATTCATTAAAGCAGTACTGCTTCTTTCTTAAGTTCTTTATCTACCTTCTTTGAGTAAAGCTATTTAGTATTGGAGATTGTGGAAAACATTTGTTCATGATTATCCAGACATACCGTCAAACAAGACTGAAACAAGAGCAGCATGCAAAAATGTATTTAAGGACTATCATCCCAAAATGCTGCTAAAAGCTATTAACCAGTACGTGTTAATTGCCACAGCATTCATATTAATTTTCACTTCAGGCCCGACATTGTGGAGTATTTCCCTTGATACATTTTAAACAAAGTTTAATTTAAGGAACTGCTTCTATCAACACTTATGAAAATTAACAGCCAAGCAATTAGCACTCATGAATTATCCCTTCCCCCATGCTTTCTACAGCATAATTTTTAAAACAGTTGCTACAAGAGAAATTGTTGGTTTTTAACCCATTACCAAAATTTGCTACAAGAAACCCTGTAACACTATATAGAGGCACCATTCCTAGCAACAGGATTTTTAGCATCTGTCCAACCAAAAATCATATTGACCTATTTTTATTTTAATTATCTCCAGTAGTCAAGTAAACCCACAAAACCTCTATAAGGTCAGAAAAGCTAGACTTTCTTAAATCTTCATTTTCAACTAGTAGTCATGAAAATAGAAATAAAAATATCTTGAGAAAACTCTAGTCTGCATGTAGGAAAGGTTTTTGGCCTTGTAACTCAAGTTTATTCTAGAGCTGAATGATCCCTTCCTTACATTTTGATTGTGGTTTTCCAACTTTCTTCTTTGACTATTTTGCATATCTTTAGCATCTCTTTCTTGACTGTCCTGTAACACTTCCGTGTTTGCTAACATTCTTCTGAGGATGTGGGAGCAGCCATTTGGTGGCAGGCATGTCAAAAATTGACTTGGCAAGACATTTTAGTGATTCAAATTTCTTAAAGGTAGCAGAGACTTGGAGGGAAAATGGATGTGGACTGGCTTCTAAGATGATTTCAGGGCGAAGGGTAAACAGAGGCATTAGGAGTTACTCATTCAGTACACGGTTCCTATAAAGCTGAACATTTGATTCTAGCACGATTTTCCTCTATTCCAGTAACTAAATACCTCTTGGTAACATTTTTTTTACTAGTGGCAACAGTCATGCAGTTGAATAGCTTTGCCACTAATACTGTACTAAATCAGTATCCTTTAAGATTAGTATCTCAGAGAAAACTCATCGCCATGCTTTCCAGCAACTCATGCAAGTTACACTTATGATTTGAAAAAAAAATATTCTGAATTTCTGTAGAATGAAAAGATAACACATGCTTTTAAAACAATTAATGAAAGCAGGCAGGTAATGTGTAGGTAAACCGAATCTTGTGAATCTCTCAGTTGTGTCACTGAAATGAGCCATTACAACACTCTTGTGTTTCATTTGTGGTACCTGGCTATGGCTTTCAAACCTGTCTTACGGTCAGTCTGATTTTCCCAACCTTATCAACAGTTGGCAAGTTGGAACAATAAGCCATCAAAATCTGATTTTTCAAGTTCTGTAAACAGAAATATACCTGAAGTTATCTATAAAATGGATGATAATTTAATTTGTGTGCAGATAAAGGAAATCAATTTGGCCACTGATTTCTTAAGCCTTCAAGTAATTTTCTATACAAATGACAACTGAAGTAATTATAAATAACTAAAGGCTTCTTTTCATACAATACTCTTAGCAGGAGTTTTCAAGATTTATTAACCAAAATGTACAACCCACATTATTTACAAACCATGCAAGCAGATGCAGAGGCTAGGTTTACTTTAACTATTTTAAGGAAAAACCTGAAGATACAGCCAAGAGTAGTTATTGTGTGTGTGTCTTTAGTTAAGAGTTGAAGTTTTACAATGTACATGAAAGCCACAGGTCTGTCCTGTGTAGCTGTGGGGCAAGAATCACCTGAATTCTTGAGCTGATTAGAATGCTTCCATTGTAGTTGCATTTCACAAGCCATACTCTCCACTATTTTGGTAATTAATGAACTGATCAGAATGAGAAGAAATTACAGTGCTTTAAAATTTTATTATTTCATAAAATTGCAGAAGTGGTTATGAAAAAGACACTAAATCTGGCAGATAACACCTGCAAGATGTAAGCATTTTAATAAATTTGCTTGGTTGATATTACAGCATGCAATGTTTTCTCATTTTTAACTGATTAGTTTAAAACAATACATTAAATGGAGGGAGTGGGCGGGAAGGACCCTGAAGAGAATGGTTTTATTTGATTTCAGGTCAGTCAGGGAGCTGAATGAGCAGTAAGTTAAAACCATTCTGAAAGCAGTTAAGATGAGTACACACACGAACAAAGAGCTTCGATACAGCAAGTAAAGCTTTCCTCATGCTTTGCCAGTGAACCACAAAACATGTGTTATTCAACAAGCTGAAAATCTGTGTTACAAAACTCAAATATACATATAAACCAAAGGCCTAGTTATAATCTTAAAGATTTCAGAACCACTGTGATCCCTTGAGTAAATACATAATTAAGTAGGGTTTTTTTAAGACATGTTTAATTAGGCCCCTAGCCCCTCCTCATCCCCCCTGCCTCTCCCCAATTATGTACCATTTCCCCAAGAGATATGTGGCTCTGTTAATTATGTAAATAAGTCATGCACTATTCCCTGAAAGAATTGTATTTATGTGAAAAATACTGCTCATCTATTGTCAATAAAAATAAATACGAGACCTACGATATTTCATAAAAAATATTTTTAAAAAGCTAGATGGTTTTCGATTTTACATTACTGTCTGAAAATACAGGAAGACTGAAGTAAGTAAAATAACTTACTACTGAACTATGTTTTTTCTGTATCTCAGATGTTCAAGTAGGTATTTAAAGAATAGACAATACATACAGAAGTACAGAAAATAAATTTTATAAGCACACAATTGACAAACTTCCCAGACTAATATAAACAATGCTGTTAAAATTAATATAGTGAGATTATATATACTGTAACAAAATGCCAATTAAGTTATTTTGGAGAGTTAAAAAAGTATTTTGATTTCTAGATCACATTTGAGTTGATTCGTATCATACCCTACAAAACACAATTGAGTAACATTGAGGTATTTCATTAATATCTCAAACTATTATGTATGGTACAATTTCCTTCAAATGGAAGGAAACACCTGCTAAATGCATCAGACATTTAAATATGAAAATTCGGATTTCATGACAGTCAACTATAATTCCTATTAATAGAGTAAAAAGTAGTTTTGATTATCAAAGTGGGAAGGAAACGTGCTTAAGTTCCTCAAGTTTCTGAGAAAAATTCTAGCAGGTAGCTCAAATCCAGCTCAAGTATTAAAGCAACAAGTCTGGGACACCACTGAATTACAACAAATTTATCTTAATAAAGAAGTATTTATTTTATTTTCACTTCCTCTGTGCATGACTGTTGGAAGTACATCTAAATGTTTGCCAAACTGAAATTTCATGACATAAGAACAGCAAGCTTTGAGTTTAGAAAAAAGGCATCTTAGTGTTGTCAGCATCAAACTACTGCTATCATTCATTACTGAGGCCAGAAATTTTGAAAAACGTAGTTAGTGCTGATTACTACATACTAGTAAGTATAAAATAACAATAGAGGCTGCTTTTGCTATGTGGACTTCATAGTTTAAAAGCTACCATTTCACAAATATTCTATATACTTGTAGATATGCTAGTGGAATTATGTATCTGACTTTCCACTTCAAGAATACTTAACAGAATATGAAATTCTTCCATCACAATGGTAATGAAGCTCAAACTTCATACTCCCACAGGAGACTCCACAAACAAATCCAGCAGAAAACAGATCTGTGCAGTATTTATAATTGTTTTGTAACAACATGACACTGATCCATCACACCAATGTTTATATTTCAGTATTTAGAGTTTATGACAGAGAAAAATATTTGACAATACAGAGTAACTAAACTGCACACAAGGAAAGACAGTTATCCACAATTCTGAGTAATATCAGATGCAAGCTCTTGAAATGAATGTAGTCAAGGAACAAATTTGACCTACCAGGTTTGCAGCAAATCTCCTCCGTGTATTACATAAACGAGTACTTGCGCAGAACTACATTGTTTAGTCCTTTTTTCCCCCAGATATTGACCTATTGATGCTTCAGCTTTCCCCCCTCAAAACAAACAGTGGCTTCTCCCACTCTCATTGGAGCATTTTGAGGCTAAAGTCAGCATAAATCATGGAATATTCAGCAAGTGCTGTGATGTGGCTAGATAGAATAGATTTTTTTTAAATGCCAAATGACCAATCATTTATACAGCGGGTCTCACCATCAACTCTGTAGAGAGATGTCCCAGGACTCTGCCACACTAAATGTTTACCTAACTAACCTGCTGGAGAAGAAAACAGCAAGGTAAGGTACGCCTAATGGTAAGGCATAATTTTGTAAACAAAACAGGAGAAACGGTTCTACCGAACCTGCAACCATTATATTTAAGATTAAGAGAAGCATGTTTCTAGATAACCACTTTAAAATAACTGATGGCCTACTATAAAGTCTAATTAAAGCTTGAACAAGTAAATGCACACGAGAACTGCCTAAGGCCTATCATCTTCAGGTCAGGGGACACCTGGATATAAGAGAAAAACATCTGGTCCACTTACCTTGCCGTCAAATTTTGAGTACTCATTGAAGGGGTTATTCAGCTGCAGCGGACACTGTTCAAGTCGCACAGACAGTATTGACTGCTTCCCAGAGCATGGAGATTTCACTCTGAAATTCTTTTTTTCAAATAGTGAGCTCAGCTCCTCTGCTGTAGATCAGAAAAGAGATTAGAGTAGTTGTACTAGGAGATGTACAGAGGCTACTGTTTACCACAGAAAGATAACATTATAAGAGGAAGAACAAAATCAAATATATAAAACAACAAATGCTTTGGCAGGGCAGAATCTACCACCACTCTTTCATAGCCCAAAGATATGAAACCATAAGAAGTTTGAGTGATGCTACTGTTTAGATTAAGGAAAAGATGAATTTTTCCCATACAGAGAATGGAACTGATCACTACAAGATCCACTTGAGTCAAGACAAAAATCAAGATTCAAAGAGAGAATTATGCATTCCTGGTCTTTCTGCTTGCCTACCTTTTTCTAAATGAACAGTAAATGCTATGCAAAAGAACTGTTGACAGATCTACAATACACCATGCAAAAGCACTTCAAACTGAGCTTTTAACACATGATACTATGCTATATTACTGGACAATATTATACTACCCTGTATATATTATATTATAATGTTGCTATGCTGTCAGCAGTAGGCTTGGGACTACATCTGGTCCAAAAGAATAATTTCTTCAGATTTTACTTCTCATGGTAGACTGGATATGGTCTCCTCTCAAAAAAATGTCAAATTTGAAAACACCATTCCAGATAAACAGTCTGGACAATAAAAACCAAAAGCTTTCTAAAAACAAAGTTGGTAAGAGTTAGTGAGTTCTTTGTGGGGTCTGTGAAGGCTCATAAAAGCCTCCGACAAGCAGCTCTTTTTATATGAAGAGGCTGCATAGCTGAATTTCCAGCAACAGTTTAACTCAAAATTTGCAGGCATACTTAAAAAAAAAATTAAAAGTTGGGGCTTCTTATGTTATAAGGACACTACAAAATCAGGACAGAGCCTGGGGTGTTTTAGCATATTAGTAGCAATAGGTCTCATCTGCAAGAAACCGTGACCGAATCTGGACAAGTTTTTTCCACATCTGCTCTAGGAACCAAGTACCCCCAAACTCCATCAATCACTACCTGAGAACCAACAGCAGCTCTCCTAGACGAGCTCTGTTCTGCTCTGCGTTCCTACACTTGGATTCTCTCGCATCTCAAAGATTTACATGTTGCTTCTCCAGGGAAATGAAACTGCTCCTAAGGCAGAATGACTTGGGACTTGATCTGCAGGGAGTTGGTTAATTTCTTAAAATGCAAAATTAAAGCTTGTCAAATTATAACTAGTCAAAAGCTCAGTTTATTTTTATCAGCAGATTGCCTGAAAATTCAGACAGTTGGCAAAAGTGCTAAATACTGGCACTAAAAGATACCCAACAGTCTTGTGAGGCTGCAATTAACCAAAAAAGCTTGATTAAATCCTTTTTAAATGTGGCAACTTAAACTCCATTAGGTATTCTGTTTTTTGTAACAAGCTTATCTCTGTTTAAAAAAAAAAATCTCAATTACAATTATTCTAGAATATTACCCTCAACTGGTATTTCTTGGGCATTTGGAAAGTACTCTGTACCTTGGAATTCAATATAATGGTTTTATTGGTTCAAGTGAAAAAGCACTTCAACTTATCTTCAAGTTTTGTCTCTAGGGAAATGTTAAGATGATTTGTTTATCATTTCTTTTGTCAGGATGTGCAAAAAGAGGACCTCAAGAATTCTTCTGCATTCATTAGTGTGACATCTGTTTTGCTTTGAGTTTTGTACAGCTTTTACTCAAGTCAAATATCTCACACGACTAAAGAGTTTAAGTAGTATAATCTATAAGATTGTAAATTCAGATGGCTGAGATACAGTTTTCTTTTTCCAGAAAACTTCATAATTTCACAAAATTCAACTCATTTAGGAAGAAGAACCCAAAACCTTCTTAAGATTTGTGCAAGAAGCTAGAAGAAGATAGATCTTCCATTGAGCATTTTGTCAAATAATTCCTGACAGACTCAGGCTGTGAGAGTTCCAACTAAAAACATTGAAAAAAAAAATTTAAAATTCTCAAATTTCAGGGGAAAAATTCTCATATTTTTACATTAAACTAGCTTTAATTGCATAACTTTTAATTCTTAATTAAAACTAAGTTTTGCTGTTAGTCTACATTATAAGTATTTTTCACCTTTTGTGGTTTTGTTAGCTATATGAGCTACTGCGTACGGACTGAATGCAAGGCTTTTGAAAGATTCCCTTGATATATTGTTAATTTACATTTTATATGCTCTGAAATGAATGAATGTAAGATGTAAATACAATGCTTTATTTCTTGCTTTCATCTAAAAATACGTAGTATTTTATAAAAAAGAGTAATATTTTGTATGTGTATCCATATTTGGTTTATAGGACCCACAGACTGCTTTACTAACATAATTCGATCTCTACACTGCATGAAGCTGAAATGTTCTTTTCATTGAAAAATGTTCTTTTCATTCACTGAAAAACAACTGATGCACAGAAAGGTGATGTGAATTGGTAGCACAGCAGAACAAAAAAACCAGACCTCCAGTGTGTTACACTTCTGGCCAATCAACTACCCATGAAGCATCTTTATATTTGTTAATCCCCAAACTAACTCCAAACGCATGGAGATTTTCTTTTTCAAGTCCATACACTACTACCACCTTATCTTTCAAACACATTCCTGACAATGCAAAGAGCTTGTCTCACGACAGCGGGCAAACAGATGATGAGTAGAAAATATTCTTCTTTTTTTTCCTCATTACCATACACAGAATTACTCGTCTCTCACTTCCCTTTATCCTGGTTAGTATACTTTTATTTCTGTACGTGTAATTAAAAATGGAAATCGCAAAAAAATACTCAATTACCAGATGCCTCAAATTACAACTACACATCCATCTGCAGGACAGTGGAAATGCTTACAAGAGTTTCTCTCTACAGTAAGGCATCTCTGACAAGTGATCTCTGGAGGTGGTGTCATCAGACTCTTTAACAAAACAACAACTTTCCAGCGTCCTTTTAGTTTCCATGGTGTCAGCCATAGGCTCAACTTTGTCTAAAGCTCAGATAAACACAGTCAGAAGGCAGCAGCCAAATTCCCCCCATCTGAGAACAGCTATTTCTGTTGTTATTGCTTTCATACATATTTTCCAATAACGCTAAACTCAAGGAACAGAACAGACAAAGTCTCATACACACACATGTGACAAAGAGGAAGATACAGTGGACACCCTTTAGGGCTCCTCTTTTTCCCGGCCTCGTCCTACTGTGTTTTCTTCATGCAAGTAAGAGACACATGCAGAATCTCAGTGACTAAGCAGAGAAGGAAAATCAGCTCTGCCAATAAAGAGAGATACCGAGTGCCTGGAGTTTTTATGTAACTTATTTTTTATTTACATTTGTTCTGCAGCAGGGAGGGACTGCTCTATTTGACTGCAACCCCAGCACATTCTTGCAGAGAGGGACACCTCCACTACTGCTGGTTGACAGATTATTTCTATCTTCAGGGCAGCATGTAAAAGGAACTAAATGTCATGGTGGAGCCCACATGAATAAAAAACCAAAATCAGCGTAGACCCAGCAGGAAACTGGAGTCCAAGTGCAATTCAGTGTAAAGAAATATCAAGCAGTATATAGTTAGGGATAAAGAAGAAAAAAGAGAATTGCATCATCTTTGGTCAAATGTTATAAAAAATTGAGCAAAGAGAGTTGGAGGTTATGGTAGATTAAACTTTAAAACCTACAACTCTTCTTACAGAAATAGAAAGGCAAAAACATTTTAGAATGCATTAATAGAGGTATCAAACACAGCTGAACACTGTACTAAGGATTAGTGCAACCGTGTTGCTCATGTGAGCAGCTTTGTTCACTCCTCTTAAAAAAAAAAGGTATTACAGAGCTGGAGAAGGTTCTGCAAATGACAGCCAGGAAGATACAAGGATTTAGGCAAAAAAAGGGAGATTACACAGGGACCTCATTAAGATATACACAAATTGTGAAAGAAGTAGGCATGACAGACCATACAAAGGTTTGAATGTGTGTCAAATACAACAGGAATAGATACTAGCTTGAGCTATAAAATGAGAGAATTGAGACAGATTTTTCATTTCATATATTACAATTTAAAATATGTAGAACATCCAGTCAGAAATACTTAATTATATAATTAAAAAAAAAAAAGAATAGCCTATTTTCTGGAAATCAGTGATACTAGCTTTTCCAAGGAAAGGCTAGATAAGCTAAGGCAGCATTTATTATGCTTTCATTTAAGTAGATCAAATATACACATTATTTCTTGAGATTTTCCCCTTTTCTAGAAAAGTAACCACAAAAATATTCTATAAAAGTAACCTCTATGAAATTCTTCATCACATCCGGTACACCAAATGCCACTGGAAATAGCTAGAAAGCCCTAACTTACAAGGAGATAATGACCCTGCATTCTGAATGCAGACACTTGCCAATCACCTACCCATAGAGCAAAGACATGTCCTGTTCCTTACACACCCCACAGTAACACTGAGAGCTTTACTATCGCCATTTCTTGCTCATTGAGACAATAGAAGCCTTAGAAGATAAAGATGCTACAAGATGACAGAATACACAAACACTGTATTAATACCTTATACTGCAAAAAATAAAGCAGCCACTCAAATTAGTTCAGACCAACAAACTAGTTTTTAAACATTTTTTTCTTTACTTTGCCTTTATTAATAATGTGAAATGCCCTAGTCACCGCTGAAAACAAATGAGACGCCTGTGGCACACCGCCCCCCCAAGCAATAAACTATGGAAAACACGTAACTGGCAAATGGAAGGCAAATACAATAATTAGTATTTCCTCTACGCTTAAGTGAAAATTACAAACTGAAAATGTTATAACCATCAAAAGCAGAAATAAAAACAATAGGAAAATAGAAGATCTTTTCTTTTTACCTGAGTAAGAAGTATTTCTGTCTTTCCACTGAACATTTTTGCATTTTATTTGATTTTGTCTCTCTTTCCGCAGACGTTCTAGTCTCTGAGCTTGAAAAGAAATATTATAACTATAAGTTTGTCAATGAAAGTTTACTATAAACAAAGACATAATTAACTACCTTTATATGAATAAAGATGTTTTATACTGCATATGTAGGGGAAAAAGTCATAAAATTTTAAAGGTGGCACCCCTGAAAAGCAAATACCAACAAAAACATGAAAATGTTCTTGATTTATAATTGAAATTAGAGGATATAAAACATTAATAGAGATCATAAAGATAGTATTAACATGGAAGAGAATAATAAAATGTGAAAACTTCTGTGATTAATATGACATTTCATTATATAAATCATTAATAACGGTCTTAAAGGAATTTTAATGCACAAATGAACTGAAGTGAATATTACATTACAGGAATAAAATTACTGTTATGAATTACTCTACCCGTTTCAAAAATTAAAGATAAATGAACTCAGACTAGACTATTAAAGTTTTAAATATAAAATCCTTTATCTAAAAATCATGAAAATTATAAAATGTCAAAGCTATATAAATTAGCATAGCTTTTTCTTCAGTGTGCTGAAACAGTTTATAGGTAGTAAAATAAATGATTTGTATCTTCACAACATTAGTCAAATCCTAAAATGAATATAATATTTCTTTACGTATATTTTGACTCCATCTTCAAAATACGGTTTGAAAAAAGCCTCAAATAGTTATAATATCAAAGAACTTACAGGCCAGGGTACCAGATTAATACCTTAAATTATCTTTTTGTTAACAGTAAGATCTCTCTTAGGAAATGGTCACCTAAACCTGGTAGAAGCTACCCAAGACAATGACCACAAGAAATAACTGATGTTATGAAGTGCCCACTCAAAATAAGAAAGCAGATTAGACTGGAAAGTAGGACTAATAATGTTGATCACTGAAGGAAACAATTTGCTGGATATATTAGCAATTTTGATGTATTGAGATCATTCATTAACTAAAATGGGTTTGTAGAAGAGATTCTAAAATGCTAAATTACTCTGACAATTTTCAGATACAATTTGAGTTCCCTCAGCCATTTCACCAATTAAAAAAAGGTTAATAAATATTTTCTATCCCTCCTATTATTATTCTCTTACATTTAGTCTTTGAACTGAATTGTGGACACAGAAGTTAAATTTTTTGTCCCCAGAAAAACTCTCAGCCTGGGAACTGATGAAAAAAATAATACTTTGAGGTTTAACAGCTGTAACAAGCAGTTTAAGGTACAAACACAAACAGGGACTTTGATGCCTATTTCCCATTTAAGTCAACACGAGGTTAGTGCCTAAATACCTCTATGTATCTTACTGTTAATGGAATAAGAGAAGATGTATCCCCGCTTTTAAGTTTAAATGTTGGGTAAAACACTATTGTAGTGTAGATATTTTATTCTGAAAGAAAAAACTTTTTTTCTTCCAATTACTGTCCAGACTGTAGCTCAAAATTACCTCCAAACCCCTTTCTTCCCAAATGGGCCATCATAAAATATGTTAGATTCATATGTAAAAAATGGGTAAAGGAGAAAACATAGAATAGAAATAATAATAATGCATGTTTTTATCGTATTTGATATTTTCACCCCTTGTCAAAACAAACCTACTAAAGCGCAGTCACCATCTTCACTAACTCCATCCTATTCTTCCATCTACAGTTGATCACAAATGATCATTTACTGTGGGATTGTATTATAGCAACTCCAAATTAGATGGAATTATCAGCACTTATTAGAAGCCTGAATTATTTAAGGTTCATTCCCACAAGAAGCATGTTAGTTTGAAAGCTTTCTGTGTGAAAAATGTCACTGACCAAATGTAGTTCTTGCTTCATTATCTATTAGCAACTAGATGAGCCTTTGTTTCTAGTCATATGGACTGGGAGAATTTGCTGCTTTCCCATATACCCAACACCCTGCACAGACCTGTCTCCACTTGAGTTTTTTTTAAACCCTCTGGATAAGGCGGAAAGAAGGCAGTGAGGAGACGGAGCCCAGAGCCAAAGACCACCTATGGCCCATCTACCTCCTGTAGAAAAGGAGGAAGAATTCATGGCAGATGACCCCCGTGTTCTCCCCAAACATGATGTGCGATACCCTAACATGCACCCACTGCACATCGCTTTCAAGACTAAGGGGATAACGCCGATATTAGAATGCACATAAAATTCATTTCCAAATTTGCATACCCACGAGAACTCCCTAATAACCAACACTTCTGTAGTCTCTACAGAAATGTGTTGAGTCTTCTACAGTAACACATTATTTCTACAATTTATGAAAAAGATACTATCCTGGTAAGGTACCTTATAATAAAAGAGTTTTGCAAAAGATAGTAAAAAGTTATACTCCGTCCGAAAACAATGGTTAAAGAAGGCATAAGCAGAAATAATATAGCAGGGTATAAAACCAAGGAGAATAAAGAAGATCTTGCATGTTAAAAAAAGTCGGCCACTATTACCTGTTGATACACAAAATTACACTATCTTCTCTTTCCAAACCTAAAAACCATTATCTGCTTTTCAAAGAACAAGTGTTCCTGCTCTTGCTAAATCTACTCAGATAGTTATGGATTAAGTAAAAAAGAAATGTCCTTACATTTGCCCATTTTAGAAGCAAAAATTGCAGATTTCACAGTTAATGAGTCTTTGTACTTACGAGATGTATGAACACTTCGTTCTATGTATGTATGTATTATGTGTTTTCTTCCATCAAGAACTTAGATAAGTACTTGTGTAATGCAAAAAGCATTTACATTAAAAATAGTTAACTTTATTTAATTTATTCCTCTTCCTGTATTTTTGAAAAGGGTTCAGTACTGATCAAATTGCATTCTTTCTAGGCTTTTTTCCACCCCGCTCTGTTTCAAGTCATAGCCTGATTGCCTTGATAATTGTATTAGGTTCCTGGTGGTACCAGCACGCACAACGGAACATAAAAGACGTGCCAGAGATGAAAAGAGGCAAAAAACTGGCTCCCCTATGGACTGAGTGTCCTAACCATTATTTTAGAATATGCCACCAATTGGAAACTGAAATGGTTTCAATCCATAATTTAAATGGAGATTACTCCATCAGTCTACTCACTTGGTGAAATAATCCTTCAGAATTATTTTTTGGAGCAAATTATATAAAACTTTAAACTTTGCCTCTCCTTCCCCATAAACTATACTATCAACTGAACTAAACAAGACCTCAAGGACAATGCTAGGCAGCCTGGCACACTAAACTTTTCACCATGTCTTAAAGTCAGTTGCAGCTATATACTCAGCTTATTTCCAGATCTAACTCTCCATCACAAGAGATCAGTGCCCTGTCTTTTCTGTAACTTTTGACAACTTCTTATTTGTAAAAGGTATTTCAAGATATTCAGTACCATACAACGTTTTACTTGTTAGGTAGAGTACAGATGTTTTTTCTGAGCTCTAGGTGGTGTTATAATACCTTCAGAAAACATTTGAAAAAAATATATACTGTAACACAGAAAAAAAAAGAAATCAGTATTGACCACCTCGCACCAACCTTTTCATATATATTATGTATCACAGAATTTTTGTTCATAGCATTCCTCAGGTATAAGTAGAAGTCTGACTATCCCTCATATGAAACAACAAATGGGACAGCTTTCTTCCAGTCAAGACAAACTGAGCATATTTTGAAAAGGTGTACACCCTTAAACTTCCTAATTTAGTAACTTAAATCCTCAAGGTTCTTCTCAGAAATAAAACTTCAGAAGACAAAATATAGACAAATCATTCACTTCGTTGGTTCACATCAAACTTAATTCCTCTCTTTTATAACAAATAGATTTGATGCCTCACTAGGTAGATTTTTCTCAGAAAATAACTATCCTGTTCAAAAGTTAACACCCCTCCAGACATTAACAATAGAAATATCAAAGGCTGTTCATGTACTTTGGATTTAGATTTGATGTCTTCACAATTTAGATTTTTTATATATATAAAACTGACTACCTCAATGTTCCTCTGTACATGAGTAAGTAAAACAGCAATTAAAACTCAGCTGACAGCATACTAAAGTGACTGAATCATTACGTGTCCTTTTATAAAAAGGGTCTCGACATTACAAAAGGAAGAGTTTGACAGATACCTAGCTAGTCATGCTCTGATTTGTCCATGCAAGCCAGACTAATAGAAACTGAATTTAAAAGGCTAATGTTATCTTGGCTGCAAGTACCACTTACCTGTGTTTGATCGTCTTCTGATTCCGAAGTCCCAGCTTGAGGTAATATCGACTGATTGGGAATATACATAGCCCTGAGTCTCACCGTTGCTTCCCTGTGTTTCTGAACCACTGTCCCCATATGCTGACGAGGGATTAAACTTCTCCAGGTCGACGTCATGATCTATCAGGACCATTTCACACATCCCTGTGTCATCACTGGTCACGTGTGACTGTCGAATATGAGCAAGTATAATTGTTGGGTTGTCCAGGAAAGCCATTCTGTCCAGAAGTCCACCACTTCACTATACTATCTTCTCTCCATCTTGTTTCATGGACACATATACCTAAAAATATAATGTACACAGCAACTTAGAAACAAACAAACAAACAAACAAACAAAACAAACTGAAACCCTGGAAGGTTTGTATTTTGGATGCACAAAACCTAACCCACTCAGGTTTGTACAGTGAATTATTTTAACTCTGCTCCAGTTCACTCAAGTTACACTGCTCGCTGAGATCCACTTAAAGAACAATAGTTTTGGGGGACGGCTTGAAACCTGAATCCCAAGACAACAGAACACAACAGACATCTACAGACAGGTCCCATTACTCTACATCAAATTGTTACTATAAGGCAAAATATTCTAAGTACTACACCTAGAAGGAGAGAGAGAAAATACACACAAGAAACATCTGTCCGTTCAAATTAATAAATTTACAAAACCAGACAGGGTTTTGAATTTGTTTTCACCATCATAACAGTGTGTTACTGTTTTTCTTCTGCCTCTACATACCAACTCTTTGATTACTTTATTATAGACCCTCTTCAGGTTTTGCATTTCCAGGAAAAACTTTAAACATGAAGAGATTAGTATCTCAGGGCAGAATATTGAACATCTGCTGCTTCATAGCACTTCATATAGGGTAACTGTTGTAATACAGAAAAAGCTCTATGATCATATACCACATGCGTGAATTCTTAAGCACTTTAACAACAGTAATTGCCACTTACCTAGAATATTTCATTCAGAGTACTCAAGCGGCCTTACAAAACAAAGTAGAGGGCAAAAAAGAAAAGGAAAAAAACCCCAAGCCACAAAACCCAAACCACACTCAAATTGTTACCCTATTTTACTGTAGCTGTGGATTTATAGTTATGTTAACCTAATTCAAGTTTGGGCTGCCTCTGAAAGAGGCAACTCCATGCTCCTGTCTCGCCCTGGTCGGATATTTCCGCCACTGCCCAAAGGCCGGCATTAGCACTTGTGTAGCTGTGAGGCGAGTTGGATCAAAAAAATGACCTGCTGAAAATAACCTGAAAAGAAAAAAAAAACTACTAATTTTCAGGCTGATCAGTCCGCCAGTGAACAGCTGCAAGAGCACCAGAACCAACTGCAGGAATATCAAAAGACGGAGGAGAGCCAAGGTTCCCCTTTCAGCAGTGGTGCTCACGGCTGGCTCAACGCAACTGCGAAACCTCAGCCCGAGGAAGAGGGAGGTTGGTGGGGTTTTAAGTCTAAGCTCACAGAGAGATAAATTCCAGAAGTTCAAAATCCACACTGCTTTTCTAATCATTTGCATATCTGAGGGAAAAAAACAACACTTCAGTACCAGCCATAGAACTAAATGTGTTTATTTAGTATTTCGAACATAGAAACAACAACAAAAAACCCTCCTATCCTTGCTGTTTGCAAAACTTCTGTCAGCAAGAAGAAAATACCAAAGGAAAAGAAACAATTTTAAATCACACAAAGCCATATCTCATGAAAATCTGGTAAAGGCAGCTGGCCTTTTCCTGGCAGATATTAACAGAAGAAAGTGAAAGAAAGCATCAGACAGGCTTGTTCCAGGATCAGCAAACACATTTCATCATTTCCCCTGTATGCTTCCAAGGGGAAAGGTGTATTAACATACAGAGCCCCACGAAGCAGCTTCTGCATTTAAATAGTTGGAAGCAAAAGTAATACTTTATTTGGACACTCATCTAATCACGACAAAAGCAAAATGTTGAAGGTGTATTGTAAATTGCAAACCCACCATCCCTACCAGTATCCTCCCTACCACCAAACATCAGTATCCGCTAATTAGAACATACAATAAATAGAGATTTATATCCTTCATGATTTTAGGCTTTTTTTGCTCCCTTGGCCACAAATATTGCCATTTTTTTTCCTGAGAGACTGTGTCCTTTCTGCTTTAAAAAAAAATAGACAAATTCAGAAGTGTTATATTAAACAACAGACCCAGCAGCAAGAAGGAATTCAATAAAACAATGGTAGAGAAATAAAACTGACATGCTGCTTGTTATTAATACACTACTCCTACCATACATTTTAATAAATTATGCTATTAGCTAAATACGCTCCATCAGTATCCTTGGAGATATTCAAAACCCGATTGGATAAGGCCCTGAGCAACCCGCTTTAGCTGGCCCTGCTCGGAGCTGGGAGGTTGGACGAGATCTCCAGAGGTCCCTGCCAACCTCGGCAACACTGCGACTCCAAGTTCTATTTTTTATTTTCTGACTATTTCCATTACAGAAAGTAGGCCTGCTCTCCCTGAAGGATTTCTCATTGTCCTCAAAGTGAGAGGCCATAAGGCAAATATCCCACCATAAGGCAACCGTCCCTGGCTGTAATTTACGTGTTAAAGGCCTTTAAGCCGTAACAGTGTGACTCGTATTGTGAGACTTAGAGAATACAGACACAGCTAAGTACACAGTGTATGGATATTGTAAAAAGTGCACTGAGAATGTTCTTTAAATTTAATTATTTACACACCGCTTATTAGAAAAGGCCATGCTTACCTGCAAGCAATAAGAACTTGTTTCAATAAGCAACCGCCTTAGGCTTCTGAAAGGTCTGCAAACTCCCAATCAAAAATTACTGCTGCCCCATCAATGTGTCATATAAATGTTGGCATGTTAATTGTGTATTTATAAGATTGTTAATGGTTAGTTAATTTACCTCCCACACTATTATTGTACTTGAAATGATTTAATGTCTGCTAAGGGAGTTAACAACATGTAACAGCAGATGCGAGAATTTTACCTTTATACTCTGCACCCCGACTTCATGCTATTAACAGTCCGTGTGCTAAATTACCCAAGCTTCTTTACAATTTTACATATGCAATCACTTTTCCCATAAACATGAACAGTGAAAAATTGCCAGAAATTCTATTTCAAACTCTAAAGTTTAATACAAACACATTTTTTCTTCCTCCTCTTCAGAATTTTCAAAATAATACATTAAAACTAATTTCTCAATAAATTAATGTTAACTGGAAATTCTATGAACAATTAACAACTCTCAAAAAAAAAAATCAGAAAAAAGTTCAGACTCCAAAATTTAGTTCAGATTTTTATGCCATATTTTAATAGTTGCTATCTACACAATTCTAACTGGTTCCTCCTTTTGATAAAGGCAAAACACAATTAGATGGCACAGCCCTGGTCTGAAGAACAATGACCTCCAATAAAGTAAAACAATTCAGAGAAGCAAAGTTCAATTTTGCAAACCTTTACATGAATATCTTGAAGCCTCCATGTCATCAGTTTCAGCAAAATTACAGATACAAGGTCAATTCCTAGATCTACTGAGATTTGCCAGCATACTGCCTCTTCTGCATTCCCACACACGATTATCACATCCACATGTAGTAGCTGAATTTAACGGAATTCAGGAACTTTCTGAGCATCAGCAATTTACACGTTCTTCAATCATAAACAAAAAATAAATGCTCTTTTAATACTTGCACTATATAAATACTACTCTACGATTAAATAAAATACTTTGCAGACAGCTGTCAAGCATAGTCTGTGTGAACTCTGAAAATGAACAGAGCAATGTGAAACCTATGCAACCTTAACAGTATTTATGTATGACATGATACACAGGTTAGTGTTACGATGATATACTACTTATTGGCAAACACCTTCCATGATTCATCACAAAGGTGGACAGAGCTGAATCAGCCCTTCACTTTCTTCTTGATCTGTATTATTCATCTGTCTTACTTGCGGCGTATTATCTGATCAACACCCTGCATATGAATGCCCCCTCTCACCTTCTCCTTGGTCTCATCACTGTATTACTGAAGTGCCCCAAAGACCACAGGGGGCACGGCCCCCTATTAGTCTTGTGCAGTTATAGAACATCCTCAAAGATGTAAAACTGCACCATCAAGAGGCTGAACAACTTGCCAGGTTTCACAGGAACTTTGTAGCAAAATCAGACAGCTGGATCTCAGTCTACTATTTTTATCAGAAGTATTCCTCTTCCAGTAACCCACTGCTATATTTATGGCATCTATAGACTTTCACAGCAAGTGAAGGAAGGCTGTTATGCAGATCAACCTCATTCATAATAAGGCATACAATATGTAATGCGGAACGTTCTAACAAATTATTCAGCTCCCAGTAGGTGACACAAAGGTCTTGAAAAGAACATATGTAGTTATACAGGCTATACCTTAAACACACAGACGAACACACCTGAATTTGGGGAGGCAACTTCACAAATGTATTAAGTGTTCTTGTGACCTTCCTGCTTGTCTGATTTACTGTATTTATTTACATGTAAGGAAGATTTTCTCACTTTCCTCTTTCCCCATCAAAAACCCCACACATACCCCAAAACCCAGTCTGATTTATATTCACGTGTTATCCTACATCAAGTGTCAATGAGATATCAAAGCAAGCGTGAGATAAGGGGAAAGGACAAGGTAAACACACACCTCTTGTGATTGCCATCCTTCCCATCCATCCTATCAACCCACCACGTATCAGCAGACAAGAGCGGACACAGCTGGAAGCATCTTGCTGCTCCAGTGCTGGTCCACACTGACTTGTGGGACTGCAACCACGTGTTAACCTGTTCTTACTGCTGTTTTCAGAGGAAAATGTTTGACCTTGAGCGTGAAAAACACAGAGCACAGGTTACCTTATTTTTGGGAAAACACAGCTATTTTGGATTGAATTTTCTGGTTTGTTTTAAATATACACGTCTGAATTTCACAAAATCCCTCCCTATTCCTGCCCAGCGAAAGGTGGCTCCTCACTACA